TTGCTTACTTTCGCCAAACTCGTGTTATGAGTACAAATGAAATTGTTTACTAAAGGTTAAATCAACAAAAGTATGTTAAATAAGTCTTCGCTGGCAAAATAGGGACTCTAGCCCTTCATGGTTGGCACAATTCGACATTTGCAAGGACCCTTCGAAATAAAACAGTTCTAATACTTATCATGCTAATTTGTCAGTGGGAGGAAGAAGACTCCATCTTACAGCTGTGCTGATTGATGGTGCCCGCCTCAGCATGAATGAAAACCAGAGGGTCTGCTAAGCTGTGTGCGGAGGTGACAATCCCTGACCATTTGGGGGCTGTCTACTTGTGGACATGCAAAGCTTAAACCGAAAACTTCTGCTGCCTTGTCCCATCACTTTGTCCCCTGACGCAAAGCATTGAAGCTTCGTTCCAATTTTTTCTCTAAAAGGCTTCAGAAAGAAGCACATGCACACGCCCTAGTATTTCGGCTTGGATGTGTTTTCGGATTTGACAGTTAGCCCTTGTCAATGTGTTAGGATTTAATTTAAAGCTATGGAGCTTGAGGGGAAAGGGTAGTCTTCTTCCATTAACCTAAATTTTGTTAGCTCTTAGCGATAACAACTGCTTGCGTACATGTACTTTTGACACCTCTTCTTCCGCAAAGTGTAGCCATAATGGCAACATCATGTTATGCACGAGAGCCGCCTTTTGCCCAACCGATTAGGTGGATGATTACCCTTAGGTGGCACTTTATGGTTTTAATAAACCTGTCCCATTCGATGCCAATTGCTGAAACTCTTCCAGCCTAAGACCCTCCATGGCATGCCACTTTTGTAATTAGACAAAGCCATCCCTTTTACCATTAGTGTACTAAGACTTCATTCATTCGCCTTAAATAAATGCAATTTCTAAGCCTGGTAAATGTTTCTTCACGAGCATTACTGCCTCGATCCTTAAATTTCGTTTCTTAAAACAATCGGGTTTATGACTGTAAACTCTCCTGGATGCAAATCAATCCTCCATCAAGTGTCGTGGGGGCAGCGCCTTACATTTTCTGTCAAAGAAACCAAGAAACCCCTCCCTCGGCTGGTAATGATGGATCCACTATCCATTACAATGTCGATAACTTAAAACACTACTCTCTTATAACTTGCCATTTTTTTCACCTGGCCCGTCTGACCTGCTTTACACCATTTCAATAGCATTTTTGCTTAAGCGAAAGGCATTGACGAAGCCCTGATGTGCTCGAATGCCCAAAATTGTGAACCAACTTTGGATAGGACACACAGCAAAATGCTTCCTCTTAAAGATACCATATCGCAACAAATATGCCCAACTTCAAATAAGAATTGAGGTTTTCAGCACAGACTGAAAAAGTAAGTCTGCTCTGCCTGCTTGTGTTCAAATGGGTATCCACCTTAAATGGCCATATTTTCGTCCACTTTTTGTTCATGCAAAAACCATTTCACTTCAGCCTCACTTTATGACTCAATGTAGTGCGGTAAATACGCTGCCGTGGTAATTTGTTTCCTTCCCGTTTGTGTTGGAAAAATATGCCAGTCTAAAAATTTTAACTATGACACCCTATCCAAAAATTTGCTTGGTAAAATCAGAAGCAGCATGAGTTATCAAGCATCGCTAGGTGAAGTCTTTGAGAATTCAAGGCAGCACTTGCCTACTGCCTTCTCTGTCTCCGCCTCTTAGGTGTCTGATTGTCAAAACTTCAGCCGATTGTCAAAACCTCGCCTAGTCATCAACGCGTAAAGGTTAACACTTCAAAAATGTCTTCTTAAAAAAACAGGTTGCAAAGTAAATAAAGTTGCTTGTAAACAATTCTGTTTTCAACACCCGTTTGAAATCTACCTTTGAAAAGTGCTTTAGTCCTAAATTCTCTGCTTCAGCAGAAAATACCCCAGACGATGAAAAACGGAAGCCTCTTAGGGAATCCGAAGCTTTGAAGGCGGCCAAAGAGGTGACTAAGGTAAGCCAAAACGTCGCCAATGCCGCGTCCGTGGCTGGAGGTTCTGGTGCACGAGCCTCCGACATTCGCAACCGCTTTGAAAAAGGTGAAAGTTTTCAAGAGGGTGACAAACCGAAGGAGGTGCGAAAGCGCAAGACAAAGCTGAAATACGCCGGTGTAGGCAGTATGAAGGACAAGTTTATGCAAGAGGCAGCAAGAGCAGTGAATGGATCAAATGACGGACAACCACGCAAGTTGAAGGAAATCACACCACCAAGAGAGGGTGTCGCTGTAGGTGTGTTGGAAAGTCAACCGACAGCGAGACCGGAAGGCGTGGAGGGCGCAGACTCGGGAGAGAGCACAGTGACGGACTACATTGGTATCGGAAAGAATACAAAGGATATGAGAGAGAAATTCAAACGATTAGAACAGACTGGTGGTGTGGTGAGTAATCAAAATGCATCAAATGTTAAGAACCAAATTAACTTTAGCTTCAATTGCCAAGTCAGTAGAGCATCCATCGGCGGATCAACTAGCTTCCACATTTGCTTATGCCTTTATACAGCGATTTATTTAACGTTTGGAATGGAATGGCTCCTTAGGAAATAAGAATCGGGAAAGTTGTGCTTGAATTACACTAATGTGCTTCTGATGGTGTAGTGTTCGAACAAGGACTCATTTGGTTGATAAAAACGTGGTTTAGCAATTTTCGCTTTTAAATTGATGTGTTGAACAACATTTTTTTTTGGCTTGAACATGAAGGATGCACCAAAATTTGAATTGTCTGATGTGAACGTCATGGAAAACAAGTCGGTGACGGTTAGTTTCACCAAGTTGATTTGACGGCTAATTATGGGCATGTCTTTCTCCTTTGTGAGCATTTAGGTTGTCATTTTCTTTCTATAATTTCTGACACCCAAAAGACCTCGTTCAATCAGTGTAGCTTTGGAATTTTAAAAAAAATCTCTTTGGGCACGAAGATGACGTCTATTATTTGCTTGAGGTGTTAAAATTGGAG